GAGAGAGAGAGAGAGAGAGAGAGAGAGAGAGAGAGAGAGCTGTTCAAAAGGACATCGGAATGGGGCGGTGGATCGTATTCACCAACAAGTAGAAATGGTACCTGTATGCACCGCCACATTGACAAAAACGCCTATGTGGCACATGGATGGCTCTCGCACACTCTATCTATCCACATACAGAAAATACTTTCAGCTATTGTACGTCCACATATACTACTGTACTTGGGTCCCTACCTCGGTTTAGCGACCGTTTATGTCATGGTGAACGCAATGTGTACATGTTTTACGTCTACCCGTTACACGTTTCTGCAGAGCAGTTCACCTAACAATCTCATTTTAATTTTAAACGTGTATAATCTTGCGAGGGACGTGGAAAATTATTATAATAGGTTATACGCTGCTGCTAAATTACGTAATATGCTTATGATTATGTGAATTGATCATATTTAATATAATATAATACGCATTATGTGTGTATATTTTTTCCAATATGGGAGTAATGGAATTAAAATATTATTATATATATCTTACAATTATAATAGAATACCATCGTCAAGATATGACAAGATTCTGAGCATATTACAATTTTGATTGTTTAATTAGTTTGTTAGTAATAAATAATTCTTTTAACAACATAATAAAATTATAAATATACATGATTATATTTTTCAGATATTGAAAAATAAAACAGGTATGTTCGCGAAAGTTACTATTAAAATTCAAAATATTATTCCAATCCGACGGTAGTGCAGATGAACTTGTAAAATTGTCACGTAGTCCAACAACGTCCTCTGTTTTACGGAGGTAAAGGTCGTTTCAATCACCGATAGTTTATGTCGTACGTTGTACGGGCGCGGTGAAGGGGACTCGTAATAGGAGCGTGCTACCGATGAAATTAAAATGTAATTCCGCGCTCCCCGCGTTGCACCCTCGTAATCTCCGCGAGTATCCCCGGGTGTCGCGACGGCGAATGCGTACATCACGCGGGGCTTCTATGCTAGAGAGGGGGAGGTGTTCGTGGGGTGAGATGCGAGCGAGTGGGTGGCTTGTGGGATGGCTTGCGGATTCGTGAGTGGTCGGGAGGGTTGGCGCCGCGACGCGACACGTCGCGCCGCACGCTCGAGGAGGGTGGCTACCGGAGTTACGAGCGCGTCGGTCTCGGATTATTTGCATATTTTAATCTAACGGTAAAAAGTCGCGCGCACAACGCTAGTTTTCCCATTAGTCTACAGGGGTGAGACTTTAAACGTAAACGCGCAATATTGTACATAACGCGCGGTGAATGTAAAAGAGCAAATGTAGCAGGATTTTATAATTTCAAGGGAATCGCTGAATCGTGTTATACTGAACTTTATCAACTAATCGAGTGCCAACAAGATCATAAAGGTTATATACTAATTTAAAAAATTTATATATGTATATAAAAAATGTATAACTATTATATATATATAATAAAAGGATAAAATTGCAAGACAAAAAATGATTGCGAATGTTTTACAAAAAATTCACTATGTCGCTATTACGTAAAAACGTCAACTTTTTAAACTTTATTTTGATTTAAAAAATAAAAATTGTTTAAAATTTTAGTACATACTTTTCATACATCACTTTATTAATAATAATAAAGTGAAATATTATAAAGAAATCATAATATTTCACAGGTTTGCTAAATAAAATGTTAACTATTTTCATCTGTTCGCGTATTTCGATAATTGCACACATTTCATTAAAATTCTGTATAACTTTCGGCAATATGATTAAATGTCACCGATTTCAGTTGAAACTGAACAATGATGGCGACCTCTTTCCGCTGTAGCTTTTGATTTTTATGCTAACTCGATTTGTATGAAATGGGAAATTGTGCGACGTGGTATCAAGGTATTTTCAGAAATTTTTTCCAGGTCGTTTCAATTTTCATCCAAATCGACCGATTACACCTATAGCCACGCATATGAAAGTAATTACATTTTTGGGACGCCATCTGGAAAGACTGATCGCGAAGGGCACGGGAATTGGTATTATATATACTGCTGTATTTCGAGAGAGAGAGAGAGAGAGAGAGAGAGAGAGAGAGAGAGAGAGAGAGAGAGAGAGAAAAAATTGGAAACCTCACATCTTCATCTCATACTTTTTCATGACTTTACTTAAACGCTAATAAATGGTTATTTATTGCATTCAAAAATTGTGTAATTGCATTATGTTTTTAAATAATTTGTAATATGTAGGATATCTGATGTTTAAGAAACAAAAAGTATAATTTCTTAATTAATTTTTTACTGAGAATATATTTTGTAATTATTGAAGATCCACTCACGCGTTTGATATTTCTAAAAAATTATTATTCTAGTTTTCAAAATAACGCGTGTATCTCAAATTATCAAAAGCTCTGAATAATCATATGATTACACGTTTTCTAGCTGAAAATCGTGATGTGAATATGTATAAAATCATAAAATTATACGTATTACATAGTAATCTATGTCATACGAATTGACTATAACGACTCTCGTGTGGATGATGAAGTGGAAGGGTGCTTGAATGAATCGGTTTATGTTGTGACAGGAATGAAAATATGGTTCGATGAGCAGACCACCACCACAAATATTGAGAAAAAAGAGAGAGCCACAGTGAGGGATCAACAATAGAGTAGCGAATATGGTGAGTGTGAATGATGTATTAATAAAACTAATTTCTATCCTACAATTTTAATTATAGTGTAGGAAACGTTAAATGTAGGTATGTGATTTTAAAACCAGTTTAATGTCACTGCCAACGAATAAATTATAACAAATTATTCGTATTAAAAAATTTTGCAAAAATTATTATCAATACTATTTTTAATATCTATTCAATTATTTTGCACATCTATATATTTAAATAAACATTAATCAATTATTTTATAGAAAGAAAAGAATTGTTTTAACCATTTAATTTATATATACAATTGTAACTTGTTTAAAATAAATACCGAATAAGTTATGATGCAAACATAAAAACAAATAAATTATAATGAGTTCTTTATTATTATGGATATTTACTTGCTCTCAATATTTACATATTCGTTTAAATATTATACCGAATTAACAACAATGTGTGACTGTTAATCGAATCATAAAAATTTTATATTAATTATAAATTATAAAATACATATATTTTAAAGAATAAATATATACGGCATTGTATAAATCAATGTTTTTAATTATTACAAGCTATTTGAAAATTGCTAGAGTAACTTTCTAATCGAGATTTTGAATATTTACTGAAGAATATATAAACAGTTAGAAGTAATATTATAATGACAAACTTTTTATTTTATTTGTAATTGAGTTTTACACAAAAACTAGAATTCTAATAATCTTTATAAAAATTTCCAACAACGAACGAGTTATTATATATTGTTTAGACTTACATAATTACACGACGATAAGCATATCGAAAGTGTAAATTTAATTTACATTTTTTAACTTGTAATAAAAATCGTGAGTGTGTAATATCAACGACAATAAGTTGATCTATCATATCTTCCATATCTTGGCACATACAACATTCTGCTGGGAAAGCCATCCAATCTAAATCCATTTTCCGGCATGGTCGACAAATTTCCGGCTATCGAGCACCCTTAATTGACGGAATATATCACTAGATCGAGACTCCACTATCATAGTGCCACGAGACATAATTTACGGAAATAACGCGGGTTATCCACCCATCCATAAGGTGCACCACTGCTGCGACAACTGTTCTTTCGGGTTTTAGATAGGATCGGCAAATCTCGAGATTTATGTACGGCCATTTCTCCAAAATCTTTTTGAAATTTTTATAGGTATATCTCACACGCAATAGATATTGTCGGTAATTTTATAGAGACCGATAAAAAAAGTAGAGGATTTGATTAAACAATTAGAGAGACGTCAGACATACTCATTCAATTAAATTATAATTTCCCCCCGTTTATATTTATTCTTAAATACTTTTTTGACATTAAACCCTCTTAAAAATTGTACAACATATACACGTATGTATATATATTATGAATTTAAAGTATAAGCATGGCAGAGATAAATTACCAAAAAAATTGAAGAAAATCGTACATGTACATTCGGGACACTGTTTAATCCGTATGACGTACCGCATACGAATGTGCGGTTAATTCTATGTGCGATTAAAATTATAATTTAATCTGAAGGAATCACACATACGCAACCTATTTGTGAGGGCGCGTATAGCGTGAACGCGGTGAGTTGGTAACCATAAAATTCCGACCGCTGACAGAAATTACAAAACGATGCAATGCTTTCGGTATAGTTTCTGCACTTCTACCTCCATACCGCGCGCTTAAATAATTCATACTCTCTCGTGTTGCCAGCATAATATTTCCCGACCTTTCCGCGCCGCAACGTGCACACACTTGTACGGGACGGCGGCGGCAGCGGGACGAAATGTGCCCCGAGCGTACATAAAAATGTACGAGAAAAATGTTGTCACTATCGCTCACAGAAAGTATCATTGTTTGCGCGTTAGTAGTTTTGCTTATCACGTCGTGGCATCTGTAATATATATTCGTATATATTGTGCGTGCGGAATCATTGTTACAGTTACATGATAAATACGATATTGAATTTATCAACGGATTATCCAGCTAAATATTTATCAGCGTACGTTTCTTAAACTTAAATCTGGGAGTCGCGCTCTATTAACTCGTACAACGCGCGTAATTGCGAACTGTTCGTTCTTCGAGAGTTCGTAAGCAGCGATTCTCTATAGTAATGAGAAGAGAGCCACGCCACGCTCGAATCCTCCGCGAAGCTTACCGCGCGCTCGCGCGACTATCCTAAATGCAAATTCTTTATGAAAATCCGACGTGCCGCGCGCGAACGCCGGTAAAAAGCAACGATATTGCGAAGTCGCTTTACGTATAACACAGACTCGCGAGCGCGCAGCTATACGCTTCCTAAAGTGTTAGCAAGAAGGAGTGTTTCCTTTCTTCGTGTAGGCAAGATTCCCGGGACAGGGTACGCTCAGCATACAAGCGCGTATTAATTAAGTTGGCTTCTAATTAATGCAGAACCCACTTCGACCGCGAAGGATCGCTTAGGATGGAACTTCCCTTTAAGCTGTAATTACATTTACGGTACACGTGTTGGTGTATATCCGTCGGCACCTCGTGCCGCACAATATGAAGCCACGCTGCTCCTTCCCCTCCTCCTCCTCCTCCTCCTCTCGCCTCTCACATCTTATCGCTCGCACCCTTGTCGCTGTCGTCGTCGTTACTGTCGCGCCCTTCTCGACGCGACGCGACGTTTGTGCGGGTGGATATTTGTTTCGTGTAGCCCGAGCTCCGTTTCAGTTGGGAGGATACGCGCGCGCGTACGTATAAGAATATTCATCGTGTGTGCCCTGAAAATGGCATCCAGGGCATTTTCCGCGAGATGACGGCTCTACGCGCGGTCGTCGCCACCAAGAAGATATTCGCCGACGAGCGCGCGCACGTGCTCACCGGCGCGTTAAATAGATCATGCGAAAGGCATTCCGATTCGGTGGCGCGATAACGTCAACCTCGTCGTGCACGTACCAACGATCACGTCACTCACCATTTCTCCCTGTTAATGTCGTCGCTGGCGGATGATCGTCGGCGAGAGTACACTGGCGCCGCAGTATTTTCCGCTTTATGATTTGCATTTGTAATTTACAACTCGTGCAACGTTTCACTATTCGCGAATACTTGAGAATATTGACCTTCGGCGCGACTGACGAGACGTTTTCTTATACTTTTGTTATTTAAGTGATGTACTAACGAAGTCGACGTTATCGTGAACTGTTAATCCAGCTAATATTGTCCGTGACCGTAATGTTTATAGCGGAAGATTGTAACGCTCTGCGCGTATAAAAGAAATTAGCGAAATTGGATTATTAACTGCGTAAACGTGCGCGTTTAATTAGAGAAATGCAATTACATATGCTCCACTGACGTTTACTTCAACGCCAAACGTAGATTAGTGATTGTAGAAATAATTAATAAAATAATGAAGTAATAATAAAGTTTTAAATCTTTATTTTATGTACCAGATTACATTACTGAAAATGTCAAGTTGTATCTTTATGAAGTTTATTTAAATAATTTTATTGAAAATTTATTTTGCTGAAATGTATTGTTGAACTGTTACTTCATTATTACGTTAGTGTTAAGGAAAAATATTTTAAATAATCTCGATAGAAACGTGCGTAAAGTTTTTTCATTAGTTATTATGTAAGAGTATAGGTACAATGTGAAAGATATGGTGAAACAATGTTTGAAAAATGATATCAGCGTAAAAATATCTTTTGCATCAAATTACGCAAAGATATTATTCAAATTCTCAATATGGTAACATTTACGAGAGCCCGTCTCTTGAATAAATATCTGTTTTTTCTCGCGCTTCGAGTCTTTTTTTGGATGAAAAGACATTTCTGCTAGTTATACCATAGACACGTAATAGTATCGCGCCCGGAGGGACCTCGCAAAGGGCATCATAATTGTCAGTGATAAAAATTCTTCTCTTTGTGCTTTTTTTTTTTTAACGATCTACCTACACAATGAAACACAATCTCTGGCGGTGCGTACGTGCTAGGCAAGAAAAAGAGGGATACGAACCAGAGAGATAGAGAGAAAGAGGAAGAGAGGATAAGGGAAAGAGTGGAAAGAGGAAGAAATCGTGGGTTATTTACAGTTTCTCTCGTACACTCACCGCGGGTAAATACCACTTCTTTCCAACCTTCCTATCTGCGACGCCATGCTCGTTTCCACATAAAAACTCGATCTCCCTTTGCAGTATCACACTATCGGTTCTCGTCGCTAGTTTCAAACTGGATTTTCGCGCCTCTATCGCATCTCTCTTTCTCTCTCTCTCTCTCTCTCTCTCTCGCTTTCTCTTTCCCTTTCCCCGGAATTCTTCCTTCGTTCGAGCATCATCGACTTTCCACTATATAAAGCGCTTTGGAAACTCATTCCCGTTGATCTTGTTCCGTCGGGTCCCCATGCAAAATTGCTATACGTGGTTCCGCATATGTACGTGACTACCATAACAGAGTGACAATCACAGATGAACACAGTTATCGCGGTCATATAGTTAACGTTTTACAACATACTACGGCGAAACTACTATTTGGTTGTAAAGTCGATCAACTTGAGAAAGTTTCTTTCATCTTGCGATTCCGGTTAGATCCACAAGAAAATCACGTGTTAAATTTGAGCGAGATAAAAACGTGTTAATAATTATCTTCACCACCACCCCCCCTCCCTCCAATTTCGATCGATTTTTCGATTCTGGCATGTTATCCTCGAAACTCATTCTGTTCAAGCATTATGCACTTCTCTTGTAAAGCTCTTTCCAAGCTCGTTTCAGTTGATCTTGTTGCGTCAGATACGTGACCGTGCATACCATAGTTGGACGATAATCCGTCGAAAAAAAAGCTATATGCATAATCTCGCACGGCGAAAAGATGGCGTTTGGTAGTAGGAAAATGCAGGAAACGTATGTGATAAATCACGTATCGAAGGAGGTACATAAGGAAGGTCAGATTTTATCTGTACGATAATCGAGGAGAGGCTTGTGCTGTTCAAGAGCAAACGCCTGCGAGAAGAACCGTTCGACATTGATTTCACGTCTCACACGCTTCTT